TAGATTATGTCGACACCAGAGAAAAGTTAAAATCAAATTATAAAATTTATGCTGTCGGCATATTTGTTTAATTTTATGCATAGAGCTAAATTTTCTCGGCGTTCTGTTCACCGCGGCAAAAGTGACCAGTTTTCTAATGTATTCTAAATGTTTAACGTTGGAGAAAACAGCTTTTACGTATCGTATGGGCGTGGTTTTGAGGATGCTGATTGGGATGCTATTGTCAGGCTTTTAGTGAACAAAAGTATCCGATTTTACCTGGAAAACCAATAAAAGTACTTTTTACAACATGTGGTACCATTATTACTCGAGAAAGCGAGCAGAGCCAGTATCGGATGCGCCATCTTGTAAAGGACTTTAAATTACCTATGTAGATGAATTCTGACGAGTCTATGTAATGCGAGAGGCGAGTTTCAACTAAACTAGAACTAGTAAGAGATTATAATAAGGTTCTGATTGATACAATTCTTTAATTAAACTGTGTGTTATAAGTTGATTTCAAGTCTTTTGAAACGCGCAAACGTGCAAGTATTTGTGACACTAATAGATGTCCATGTAAAACACGTAAAATGCTGTGTTGTTTTAAGTGTCATAAAGGCAAAAGTTCAAGGCAATAACAATATAGAAAAGTTAACAAAATAGAAGTATCTCAAAAACACAATTCTATTTGCGAAGACTTCTTTGTAAAGAAAACATGAATGTAAATTGTTACAGTACCAGCAGCAAATAAACTGTTAACTCTCTCGCAACAGTTGATTGATTGTTGTTTAACATGTTTATATGCATATCAGATTTATTTTTTGTAGATGAGATCTTTTTAGATCAACGAATAAAAGAAACTTTAATGTGCAGTTATTACAGAAACGGATACGATTAAGGCCCTCATTATCAACACAACACAAAATGCTGTAAAGTTAAACCAAAAATCGAAAATCTGGCTCTGTTAAATGGTAGTGCCAAATAGTCGCTTCAATTTAAGACCATCCTGAACTCTCCATGACGTTTTCTTACCGAGAAATCTTCTGATTACGAATTGGTGTTACAGTGAACGCAGCTTTTGAGATATAATGGCGCCAGTGCCCGGTGTGTGCTATTAGACAATTTTACTTCAAGTGCAATTGAAAATTACTGTCGAAATTTCGTTGGATTTTCGGCAATTCTCGAAAGTTGGTGTGATTTCTCCTGTATTCTTGTATTTTTGTAATTTGTGTGATTTTTTATTCTTTGATAAATACGTCAAACAAATAATATCAACAGTATTCATCCTAACATAAAATTTACTGTTGAGCTAGAAAAAGATAATAAATTAGCTTTCTTAGACGTACTTATTGAAAAACATCAAGATCATTTAAAAACATCAGTCTACAGAAAGAAAACATATACTCATTTATACATGAAATGGGATTCATGCAATACAAAATATCAGAAAATCGTTCTAATAAAATCACTTATCACTCGAGCAATTCGGATTTGTTCAGAAGAAACTCTATTAAATGCTGAAATCAATTGGATTAAGACGGTGCTACAGGAAAATGGATATCCAGCACGATTGTTAGAAAGAGTTATTAAAACGACATTCGAAAAATATACTAATAATATGCTTTTTAACTCGTCGAAAAACGCTAATAAACCTCAAAGCAAAATAGAAGGCAATGTTTGTTTCTATTACCTGGGTAACGAGTCAACAAAATTTGTATCAAGTATAAAAAGAACTTTGATTAAATATGGAATTACAAACATTAGATTCGGATTTAGAAAATATCAAACAATAGGCAATGTTTTCTCACATAAATATAAAGGCAAAGATGAAAGGAAAGTAGGAGTTGTCTATTGTATAGAGTGTAATGATTGTGCTAATATTTACGTTGGTCAAACTGGAAACGAAATTGATACTAGAATGGATCAGCATAAAAAAACATTAAACAAAGTAGATCCCTATTCAAAACTGTTCGTTCATGCCACTGAAAACAATCATACATTAGAACTTGACAAACCATGTGTTTTGACCTATGAAAGAAATGAAATCAAAAGATTACTAAAAGAGACACTGATAACATATCAACATAATAACCTGACATACAATGATATATCACTAAAGACGGTCATATTCAACTAGACGAGAAAGAAAAAGTAGAAAAATAGAGAAATCACAACTAGAAAATTCCGTTTAGAAAAATCTATATATGTATATATAGTTGTCTCTCTTCTCTCTCAAAGAGTCATTCGCCTGATGATGATACTGTGATAGTGTCGAAAGCTCGCTGTTTGTAAAATGATTTTACTTAAATTCTTTTCTATAATTTTGAATATACTATGTTTCATAAAAAACGTAAAAAAATCAAAAAGCATCAATATACACCAGTCGTCTGCTTGGCACGTTAACCCTTTGTAAAGTTGATTTGAACACATTGAACTGTTCCAGAATGTGTTGGGTGGGCACTGACATCTGTCATTAACATACAGAAGATACCGATTTTGTTGACATTGGTTACACGACTGATTGTACGCTGAATACAGCTCAGGATAATAGCTGATTGCGCCTAGTCGAGATGTTGGCGATGATGAATTCACCACAAAATAAGTACACAGCAATTTAAAGAGAGCGGTAAGAGATGTGAGTTAACTTCCTGCGTGCTCTCAGTTATTATTCAACGTATTCAAATTTTTGTATCATTTTTACAGGTTCGGCTTCACTGGAACCAAAAATATATTTTTTCTTCTCACACGTTCTGTTACACAATATAACATTTAGGCAATACTTTTCCGTTTTGTGCATACCTCCTTTTAAGGACGAAGATTTTCTTATTTGATATAGATATTTTTTCATTCGAATAATACACAGAGAAAGAGTCAATGTTGCGTAATAAGAAACAAGAAGTTTTCAGAGAATGGAGCTGGTTTTTCAAAGATTCTCTGGAAAATCGGACTTTTAGAAAATTTTGAAACAAGTTTCTGCTTACATAAACATGTCTTAAGATCTGTTCTATTCAATAATGACTTTTTTCATATGAATCTGTATAAAAATTATTATAAATTAGAATATTGTATAACAGCAGAATACAGAAATAGTCGCAGAATAACACAGCGAAGAACACAGCGAAGCTCAGTTCTCATTCACCGTCAACAAGTATAATCTGCAGCATCAATGCCAGGCCACGAATCTCCAATAAATCCTACCCTTCATCCGTTATCGCATTTGTATGTTATGCGACCGCCGATGATAGAGATTAGATTATTATTTCGTCAACGCTCTGTTTATGTAAACAATACGATGTCTGACGAATGTTTACCTCTGGGATGATCTATACAGCTTTTTTTCTAAATTAGTTTTTGACGCTGAGTCAGAAAAATATAGTTAGAATTTTCTAGCTTGCAATGCAACTTCAAAACAATCACTTTTATGATGGCGGTCGGTTTTTGAGGCCTTTTAGGCCTTCACAGTTTTTCGCATTTTTTTCCATGAAGAGAGAGCTTTTAAAAGCTACCAAGCTACGACTCTGAGATCAGCTCGGTGCGGCGAATCAGAATATATAAACAATACCAATGTAACGTGAATGGTATCACAAAACGTTTTCGACTAATGCCGACGTTTGGGATGTACGATTAGGAAATTCACTGGAAGAATATTCAAATGAAGTACCTCAGAGGCTTATCACCATCCTAACCTTTGCCTGGTATTTGAAATATATAATGAGAACAAAGACATCCGCTATGAGGAAATTTTGTAGTCGATTATTCTTGTATATTTAAATTTAAATTTAAATCAAGACCAATAATTCCATGAGATAGCGAAAATTTGCTTCGAAACTAAAAGCTCATATGTAAACAATACAGTTTTCTTTGAGTAAATGAAAAGCCGTTTATACTAAACACGCAACTTTTTCCTTTGTTCTTTGGCTTCGTTTATCAGTTCACACTGTTTTTCTTTGAGAATTTTCTGAAGTGTGTTCTTTTCACTTTCCATCTTTTTTATTTGTTTTCTTGTCTGAGCTAAATCATCTTCTTCCGTATTCAAATCTTTCAAATATCGCTTTAGAAGATCAGACGTATTGACCTTTTCCAAAGATCTGATATTTTCTCTCAATCGTTCTTGATTCGTAAAGATTGATTTGATGTATTCATTCATATATTGAATTTGTTGGTTCAACTCTGTAATGTTATGTTGAACGTTTAACATTGTCATGATCGTGTTCATCAATGTTTCAGACAAAAATTCTTTCCTTGTTTGCCAATCATGCATTAGTGTTTCCGTTATGTGGGTGGGGTTCATCATGTAATCGAGTGCTATTGAGACATATTCGAATTTTACGATGCGTTTGATGATCTCCATCGTAGATTTGTCTAGTACATTTAACTGTTGTAATTCGATTGCTTGTTTCTCCAAAAACTTTTCTAGATCCGTCAGATTATCAATCGATTTTGAACTTGTTGCATTCTCTGTTACAATTAATTCCACAACTTCCTGAGGGTCCAAACTCAGTTGGAAACGGCTAAAACCCATGACAGATTTGATGCAGTTTTCGGCGCTTGTTATGATGTAGCCCCCCAGAGTTGGATCAGCACTGTGATCAACATAGAACTTTTCTACTCTACGATCAACAGAATTGTTTTTGATTTGATATTTCGTTCGTTTTGTATGATTCTGATGAAGAATGATACCAGTGGGAACGACTGTTGTTAGATTATCGTCTAACTTAGAATAGATGATCTCGATAGTTTGAATTTTGACTTCTTGTAGATTCGATGGCAACGACTTTGTAACAGCGACTGTTGTATCCATGCCGTAATTGATCAACTAAAATAAACATATATATATATATATAGTACACAGAACAGAAACTTAAACAGAAATATTGTTTTGCGACTTTTTTATTGGGTTGACAAAAATTCACCTCACTCATTTTTGCGGGTTATAAATTCCGAAAGAAGAGTTAACCAAAATCTTAACCAATAATAATACAATTGATTTCAAAACGTGTGCGTTTCTCAACTAGGTATGCACCATTTAAAAACTGGTGTTGGGGCATCCGGAAGAGTTGCTATACATCAGTTATCATGATTTACACAGAGCTGTGAAACGTCTCATTTTACTGATGCATACCTATTCTCAGCAGATTCCCAAAATCCAAATATTATATTCATACATCTTGTCTATACGCATGGAGAAATAAAGATGAACTCAAAAACTTCTACTAAAAGCTATTAAAAGAAGGATTCACAGGGTCTTAAAACACTTAGTGGTTGAAGGAAAACTGTTCACTTTTATTTGTGCTCATTTGACACACGACAGAACAGAAAATATTTTGTTGTAGGTTTATAAAATCGAGAAATTTCTGCCGTTTGGGCTTTTTGTACAGTTTAATTTTGGATTAGTGTCTCATCCTTACTGAAATGCTCCATATTCATTTACTGTGTTATCGATAAACAAATAAAATACCTTTACCACAACAAAGAAACAGCTATGAGAAAATCTAAAATATACTGAAATATGTCCCATTTGAGAATTTTAAGAGTAGCCCTCCAAGCAAGATTAAGTAAGCGAGAAAATCTAGCTGCAAAAATAGCTGCAGCGCCCGCTTACAACTAGATTAAAAGGTAAACCCCCCCCCAGAATAGAAGGGCATGGCTTTCTCTTGTGTCCCGTCGGATCAAACTTTTTAGGGTGGCCTTCTATTAAGAGTGGCCTTCTAAACCGACCTCCTAGATAGAATTTTCTAAAAGT